ACTTTTACACCACATAAATTGCTTGGCATTTATATTATTTGCTTAGCATCGTTTATCAGGCGATGTCCAAGCACTCGCTATCCAATTGGCTGGCTGGCCATAGGGAAAAAAACTACGTGGCGGTGTGGAAGCTCTCTCTTCCCTTCTTGGCAGGGTTTATTTATTAGTTGGACTTTTGAAAATATCGCATATTTATATTGTATTTATTGTGGCTGCCCGTTGCCGCCTCTTGCAGCTTTAATATTTATTTCCGTTTCCGGTGCGCCATCCTTGTTGGCCCAACAACAACAGCAACAACGCCAAGTCCCTCAAGCTGCAGCTGTGTGCTCATTACTTCACTTGCGGCGTGCGTAATTCAAGTTGCTCCTCGGATGAAATGGCGGATGCAAACACACACACACACATATATATACATATACAAATACAAAATAAGAGCATAAACAGAGACAGGACACTGGCACACAGACACCGATGCAGCTGCACACAGACACTGGCAGGGCGACATTCAGGGAATGACACAGTTTTCTCGCACAGTGTGTGTTTGCATGACTTTTTATTTTTCTGTCTACCTATGGAGTGGCTATATTTTTAAGGCATTTATTATTGGACATATTTGTACTTATTATAATGGAAAAGTGTAACATTTTATGTGTGGGATGCTGAGGATCTTATTATAATGAGAAGCAGAAGTTAAGAGCCTGCGATCTTTAAAAATGTAAAATATTATACAAATCCCTCTAACTTATAAGCCTCTGTTAGCTTAAAGTCTACCATTCGAATAATGTCTCATCACTGTATTATTTTTATTTGCATTATTTCCTTGCTGGCCCCCTCGCCTGGCCTCTAAAGATTTATGTGCGAGCTGCTACTTCAAATGTAATTTACAACAGACTCTCGCCAAATTTATGCTGGCCCTGGAACAGGATCTGTGTGAATCTGAGACTGGGCCCAAATCGCAGACTCCGTTTGAGCGTTTTTTAAGAGCCTCCTATCCGCTTTGCGATAGCTAAAGAAGAGGCCGTGGCCCATGAATTCGCCATTAATAGGATAATATCTAAGTGAAAACGTTTCGCGAGGTTTCAAGATACTTTCGGAAAAAAAAACAAGAACTGATGCAATTACTAGGAAAACTGATTACCAGAACATGTCAGCAGAACAGCTTGGAGGAGACCCAGGAAATTGTCTAGTTTTCAGTCAAATGTCATGAACTGAGCCGCTCGACTTCCCCTTCGCCGAGTTCGTGGCACTTCGAAACTGACATTTGCACTTTTTCCCAGGCCCAGGCGTTCGTCTCACTTCCATCTGGCATTTTCCTTCCTTCGTTTTTTTTTCCCATCCCCTTTTGCTGTTCGTTTTGACTCCATTTTTCGTTATCCCTTTTAGATATTCATATTTTGCCATTGATGATATTTTCACTACTTTCGTATGCATTACACGTACGGCGCCCTCACAAGCCTCCCATCTATCTATGTGTGTGTAGCTCCTGTCTATATCTGTATGTATGTATATTTTCGAATCGGGGGGCCTGTTAGATCCTGAGGCAGCCTTTGGGCCGTATTAACTCCGCCCGGCCGAACATGGCGGTGTGTGTGAAATTTGCATATTTTTTGACTTAACACATCCTTCAAAAATTGCGAAACGCGTTTGCGATAGCTTTGGCATTTCCTTGACGTCTTTCCGCTCTTTCCGCTTTTCCTTCATTTTTTTTCTATCATTTTTTTCTCTCATTGTGTGTGTGTGTGTGTGGCTATGTGAGCTATCTATTTGGCCTGAACTTGCAGTTGAAAAAGTTCAAACCATTAAAGCCAAATGCCTTAAATGCCAAATTGTGTCCAATGTGCTGCATGGGCATGGCTTTTATGGGACTCCCGTGTGTTGGCCAAATTGAATTGGCCGCATTAAGCGCTCGCGTCGCATTGGGACTATATATATATATAGTTACTATATATGTGTGTTGGCCAAATTGATTCGCAGTCACTTTAATGGCTGAATTGTATTTAAATTTCATGCGGTGCGGGTTTTGGGCCCGGCTCTCAAGACAAGTGGCGCTAATCCTTGACTTTGCTGCTAATGCACGTCGTATGTCAAACACCAAAAACGTTTACCCCCCGCCGGCATTTCCCCCTCCCCCCCTCTTTTCCAAACACCCCTCCCACCCCTTATTTCCTTTTTCCAAGCCACCCGCACAAGTAACGCAATTTATATGCCTTCCTCACTGGCTTGTTTGTCTTGGCAGCGTCTTTTCCATCCTTTCCATCCTTACCCTCCCCCCTCCCCTTTGTATGCCATGCATTTTTCTGCACTTTTGACTTTTAAGCGTGCACTTGGCCAGGCTCAGAGCCTCGGTTTCAGCCTCGATTCCCAGCAGCTCCTCCCTTGAAAGCCTCACTCGTTTTGTACGCGTTGTTTGTCTTAAGGGATATATACTCTCTCTTTGCCCCATGCGAGGGTATTTGCCAGCACTCTGCCGCAGGCATTTTGATAAGAAAAACAAACTCACACACACACAGACATATATCCACAGACTTCCATAGAGTCGGGCTCAAGTGTCATTTATGCGTTTTAATGCCGGAATTTAATTTTCAAATTAAGTAAATAAGTTTGCGTAAAAAAGTTTCTATGGATACAGCCACAGCGTCTTCATCTCACATGCACAAAAGTCGCCCTTGGCTGTTCATTTCGCGAGTTGCAGTGACTCTCTGCACTCCGTAATAAACTCTTGGCATTGACGAAAAATTATATGGTTAAGTATATAAGATACCTAAAGGGCTCTGGAGGCAACTTGAGGCATAATTGAAGCGATTTTATTGCAAAAGGTTTGTTGGATTTCTTAGTAGACTGAAAAAAAGAGATGTTGCCTTTCAAAATTTGACTTTATGTTGAATTGGTAATCAAAAAAGAAGGACTACTGCCTTAATTTTAACCTAAATAAACCCGATTGGATGTTATTTCCTAAAATAAAAGAATATGTAAAGAAAGTTAATCAACAAACTCCTTGTTTTTCCTGTGCAGTTTGACTTTTGCCACTTTGAATTTATTTAGTTCCCTAGAAACCCCTTTCATTTGATAAAGACAAGATGCCAGCTCCATTTAAGCCAGTTCAATAAGCTGCTCTCAGATGTTCATCTAACTGCACATAATGGTCGATACGATACGATGACGACGCGTTACGATTCTTTGTCGTTTCTCGTCGCTTTGAAGTAATTTTCGTTACGCTTATAGATTGCCTTTGGCTCTTGGCATTTCCGGGCAATTTTCCCTGGCTATTGTATCAATTTGCAATTATGTTTCAATCAATTTTATTGCCATCTAATCTGCGGAGCAAAATAGATTGCTTTTTGCCAGTGAAACAGCGAGGATATGTTGCCACCAGCTATGGGACAGCCATGGATATGGGTTTTAAATTCCGATTGGCAAAGGTTTTCCTTTTCCTTAGCAACTTTGCTTTGGACTAGTGGTTAACAGTGTTATTTGTGAGGTGTCTTTGATCTATAAAATTTAATTTAGTTTTACAGAATTCACTATGCCTTCAAAGCCTTATTACCATTCCAACGAATTTGACACCTTTGCACCTCTGCTCCTGGCCAATTGTCACTTTGCCTTGTTAGACCCTAGTGCCGCATTGTGGTAAATGACGTCGCTTGTTAACCAAGTTAACGAGACTTGCAAGCCGCACAAATCCCCGCTTGGAGACTCATTACATGGTCATGTGCTGCTCAGCCAGCTGGGAAAATCGAAAGGGTACGAGTGGATGTACACTTTGCAGGGGGCCACACTGCATGCGAGTAATTGGCCCAAACAGCCCACGCAACTATTTCATAAACAAAATCAGGACACCAGCTGGAGGTCCGAAATATTCCGGCCAACCGATTACAAAGCCTGCTAACCGAGTTTCGGGATTGCAGAGTTGGATTCTGAAATGGGTACACTGAAAGAATGAACTTTCCATAGAACCAAAAACGTATCTTTAGGCAGAAAAAAGTTAACTTTGGTAGAAATTAAGCTTTAAACTGTAATCCAATACCTGCTATTAAAAGCCCTGAACAAAGCCAATTAGCGAATTAGAATCTGCCAATAGAAAAAGAAATCTCTGTGTAATGGAAGTGCGTTCTATTGCCCGGCATCGATTACATTTTGTCTGCGTGCGGCGAAACATTTATCATCAATTAATGGCATTAGTAAATGTTTGGGAAAGAATTTGGCGCTACCAAAATATTATTGTTATATATGCAGGCGCCATAAATAATACCAAAATACCGTTCTTTGTGCTTCGAATACACACACACACACAGATATCATAAACTTGGCAACTCGCATATTGAATGCAATAAATTTATGGCACATTTTAAATTCAATTGAATTCGTGCGTTGCTTTGTTGCCGCCTCCAACATATATATATATATTGGGTTGTATATTTCCTTTTTTTAAGCCACACACCATCGGCAAATATTGCTATTAATTCTTAATAATAATAATAGCAGCAGGAGCAGCAGTTCGAGGGAAAGTCTGGCTGTTTGTCTGCCATGATGACGACTGTGCTGGCCTGGCTGGCATTCACTAAGGCTGCATTTTATTTATGGCCTGCATTTTGCACTTTTATTGTTTTTAAATTTATTTACGTTTTTTTTTTTTTTATGATTAAAATATTTTTCATTTGCGGCTTAAGAGCAAATTTATACTCGGGGCCAGGAGTTTCACCCTTGGCTGCTGCCGCCGTCGCTGCCTTTTAAATAAGTTTTATAAATTATCGTGGAAAATTCCCCCCGTGCGGAGTTTTAAATAGTTGTGCTTTATTTAATTACACACAAAAACACCGCTGGCATTATGCGGGCCCAACAACATGTGGCCGGGTCTTTTAATTAATCCGCCATTTGGCCAGAAGCCTTTTCGATTGACCCAACCGGACATGGTTAACTACACTAAATGTGAGGCTCAAACGATTGAGAATGTCAGATGCAGTACACCCGGAATTTCCACTCACTGGATAATTACTCGATAATCTTTTCAGTCTCCGATCTTTATTAACAATGGCAAGTGGCGATTTGAAGGAGGATTTAAGCCGTCTTCTCCACTGGGGTCCCATAATACTTATGGTTCTGACCCTGATTGTCACCTGGACTGTGGTGGAAATGAATGCGATGTGGTGGACACCGGGTAAGGATCTTGGATCTGTGGTAAACTACGCTCTTATCTGGCTACACACCTTTGGCACGCTCTATCACTTTCTCAAATCCTTGATGGTGGGTCCTGGTTACCTGCCGGTCAAGTGGTATCCCGAGAGGATCAAGGACACGGAGTTCTTGCAATTCTGTACCCGCTGCGATGGCTACAAGGCTCCCAGATCGCATCATTGCCGCCGCTGTGATCGTTGCGTGATGAAGATGGATCACCATTGTCCTTGGATCAACAACTGCGTTGGATGGTCCAATCAGGCCAGTTATATTTACTTTCTTCTCTTTTTCCTATCGGCTAGTATACATGGAAGCACTATAATGGTCTGCGCCGTAGTCCAAGGACTACAGAAACGTTGGCTGGTCAGACAAGGATTGAAACATTTGGTCACGGTCCACTTGACTCCTAAAAATCTGATGGCCTGTTTAGTTAGTCTTGGGATCTCAACGGGCACTGGCTTGGCAAGCATCAAGCTGCTGTACATGCAGCTGAAGGTGCTGTTTCGGAACCAGACTGAGATCGAGAGTTGGATAGTGAAGAAGGCGAATTTTCGTCGCAATGCTTTTCCTGGTAATCGAATTAAGGCCTTCGTTTATCCCTACAATCTAGACTGGAAGGCCAACTGCCGAGAGGTTTTCTTATCCTCTGGCAATGGCATTTCCTGGCCAGTCTTACCGGGATGTAATCAATACACGCTGACCAGGGAACAGCTGGCGCAAAAGAAGGACAAAAGGGCTCGCACTCGCACCTACAAATGCGTTTATCCAGCCACAGGACACTGGTTGCCTATCATCTCCCAGGGTTTGTGGGTAACCCTTAACATTCCCTGCGCCGATGATCCTCGCATTGTCCTGCAGCCAGGTGATCTCATACAGGTGACTCGCATTCAGGAATACTGGCTGTACGGCGAAAGAGTGATCTCGCAGGAGGAAAAGGAGAAGGGCAAGAGGCGCAAGGTTGCCATTCGAGGATGGTTTCCAACCCGTTGTGCTATAGAGATATTATCAGAAGATTCTGAGATAGAGATGGAGATATTATCAGAAGATTCTGACATAGAAGATTTTAGGGGTGGAGCAGAAGCGAAGCTGAAAGAGGATATAGAAGGAGCTCTTCAAGAGACAGAGATAGCCAGTGATATTCCCAGTCCATATGAAGAGCCCGGGAAGCGCCTGCGTAAGAAGTAAAGGGTATTCTTTTGGGCGACTTCAAACCTGAAGAGAAATCCCTGTCATATGCCGCAATGAAATTGCTTTGGTCAACCGCCACATTAATCTCTTAATGCTTAATGCTTTTCAATAATGCAAAAATATAAATAAATCCTTTCGCGGAGCCAGCAAGCCAAATGAGAATGTTAATGTTAAAGTTAATGCCGTCTGATCGGCAGTAGCTGGTCTGTTTCCTATGTCCCGTAATTGAGTTGCAGGCCCGATTTTACGGTACATTGGCTTTAAAGTGACGGCAGCAGCTGCTCTTAACCAGTTGGGTGTGTGTCTGTGCATCTGCTGGCAAGTAATTTGCAAAGCTCCATTGTTTTTTTTTTCTCTTTTCTGTATCCCCCAGTTAGGTATCCGTGACAGGAAACAGGAACACACGCTCTCGAACAGGACATAAAAAAATGAAAAAAAAACGAAAAAAAGAAGAACAAACTACAACAAGGACGAACGGCATTGAAAGCCCGCTCGCGAATCAATTGAAATGCACGACCTGCAAAAGTTGAGCTGAGTCGCGGATTTGCTATTGTACTATAAACATGGTCATGCAAATCAATACAACTTCTATATCCTATATCCTCTGAATCGCTTTCTACAGACACAGATGTAATGGTGCATGAGTGAGCCAGACAAAAGGTGAATGGATTCCGTTGAATCATTAGCGTGGCGTCTATTAAATTGAAAGCCAGCCTCCTGATCAATGGATTTTCTCCACTCGAACAAAGTGAAATGAATGCCCAGGTTGGCCAATTTTCCAAAGGCATTGAGTAATCACTTACAGAAATCATCATCATCTGACATGTTTTCATTGGTAGAGCGGGTGGGTTTGGTTGGTGTTTGTAACTGAATCGGCAAACAAAAGGCATTGCTCGAGGGAAATGCCATGACTTGTGTCCAAGTCCAAGGCTGCGGCTGCGTGTTTAGCTCAAAATTAGATAAATGCAATTTGAATTTGTGTGTAAGTTGTAGTAGAGGAAACAGGCCGCTGGGAAATCAGTTGTCGTTGTCATGAGTTAATAGGCGCTGGGAATTGGCGTGGTGGAATTCTGATGGTCTCATATGACAGGAGCTCTGCATGATAATTCAATGCAAAAGAGTCAATAAATATTTGCACAAAGTGTTGGTGCGCAAGGGAGCGTGAAATGGACAGGGTTAGGATGCCGACATATGCCTCTGTTCGGGATTTGTGTGAGTTGGAGATGCCATCAGAGTGACACTAAACCAGCTATCCAGATCCAGTAAGCCAAACCACTCCAGAAAGACCATCTAAGCTGCGTGCTGGCGTGTTTTTTTTTTTGGGTCATTTGGGTGACGGCGTGGAAAATGCAAAACAAATAATCGCTTCTGGCCAGTGGGAAAATCAATAGAAAAAAGGATTTCGTTTTTATCGGACACTGTGTCTGGGGAATTGAGGTTAACATCAGGGCTGGGGCTGGGGTTGGGGTTTAGCATCCGTAGAGCAGCTGAAAAGTATGCAGTAAAAATAGCCATAAATAAATCTGCGTAAAAATAAAGCATGTGCCAACAGCCATAAACATAAACAATGCAACTTTCTGTGCCGCCTTTCGCAGCTAGTTTCCTTGTTTTGTTTTCCCTTTTCCTTTCCCTTTTTTTTTGCTTCTTCTCCCCTCTCACACTCGATGGCTCTTATAAAGCGGAAACAAAATAAATTTTACATAAACATTTGCCACATAACAAAAGGGAACTTTAATGACTTTTGTCGTTGCAAAATAATTGTGCGTGAATTTTTCGCTGCCACACACACAAATCGCTCTTGCTCGGATGTTTTTGGGGGGGAGAAAGACTGGCAGGAGTCAGTTGGCTTTCAATGTCCTGCTGGCATTTAATTTCACGGACTGTCGTCCATTTTATGCTCCGGCAACACTTTTGACTTTTATTTTGAGGCGCTTCCCTCCTACTCTCTTGTATATAAATCCCATGAATTCCATTTTAGTCTTGTTGTTGGCTATTTTAGGGGGAAGTCTGTCGTGATTGGGAAGCTGATACCAGCGCTTTGAAAACGCTTTAAGGATGCCGCTTTGTCCGCCCTGGCAATTATGTGCACTATGACGACTCGGCATTTATCTGCTTGACAATGACAAGCCAAGCCGAGCCGAGCAGGTGGGGATATACTCGTATCACTTACAGTCTGGCAGGCAGAACAAAGGCAATTATGGCATCATTAGAGCCAGATGCAGCAATTGCATCGGCAGGAAGCACTTATCCCATATCGGTAGCAGCCAGTGAGTGCCAGAGTGGATAAAAGCACAGTAGCCCTGTTCATCAGCTCAGCAGTAGCACAGAGCTGAGAACATGCCACATTCACAGTCATCTAGGGTGGACCTTATATTCCTTATTCCTTAAAGATAGATGCCAACAGCAAAGGCCCTACTCCTACTAACAACATTCGCACCCAACTTTTGACTTTAAAACTTTCAGAGATGAACTTTGAGCTAGCTGCTTAGGCTTAGCTCCACCTTTCAGCTCGATTACGGCAATCGCAATCCAATCAGAAAGTTGTAAAAATGGTAAAATGATCAGATTCACAGAGGCGCTGAAGCGTTGAGGATTCTTGGCCATGGAATCCGCCTCACTGTAGCCACATTTGAAACTTCAATTTACTGCACTCGCTTTTTGGCATGCTATAAACTCTGGGAATTGATATTGAATGCCTCCTGCCGCCACCGCCACCGCCATACCACCATCCCACTCTGATTTCCATTCAAGTTCCGCATCGCATCCCATGGCATCGCTCACTCGGCCGCGCTTTCAATCAATTCAAATGCCAAACGTCTAACAAATTGTACGATTTTCGCGAGGCACTGGAACACAGTGGGCTTTAGAATCACATTCAGCTAGGGCTTCAGCTTCAGCTTGGGCTTGGGCTTGGGCTTTTTGTTATTAATTTGCACCCAGGGCGATTCGCAATTCCGCATGGATTAGTCGTCCAGCGCCTGGCTGGACGAGGACCTACTAGAATTTCCGCTTCACTGGCGGCCCTGATCTGTTGTGGATCATTGAATGTGGACGAGTCGAACTCGAAACTCGCTGCAAATGCAGGAAAATTGCATTTGGCTCCTTTGCTTTGTGCAAAAAAGTTCTCATCCCGGTCGTCCTTGTTTATTTATGACACTGGCCAAGAGCAAAAGCAAAGCAATTTTTCATTATTTAAAATGAAGTGAATTGCAGTCCTGGTTGTTCCTGTTTTCCTTGGCCTGGCCTTCCCTGCCTTGGCCGGCTCTTTTCATTCGTTCTTCATAAATAATTTATTAATTATAAAAGTTTCTGGCACTCTTTCTGGGCGCATGCAAATTCGTCCCGATCCTGTTCCCTCTGCTCCTTCTGCTGCTCCTGCCCCCAGCTGAGTGGCAACAGTTGCAAGTGAAAGTTGGGCCAAATATAGCCAAAATATTACTTGCAATGTCATTTTGCGACTTGCCAGCAAAAAACTTTTTATTAGTTGGCACTGGCACTGGGGCTCACTGGACTGTTTGTCCAGCTCTAGCTCCATCTACATCTACATCTCCATCTTACTGACTGACTGGCGTATTTTTCATATTTTAATTGACAAAACTTTTGGCCAACTGAACTGATGGGTTTTTGCTTAGTTTCTGTTACTGTTGCCTAATCAAACAGTGCCACCTAAGAACCATTCCAACATCTTCAATCAACTTTGGTTTGCATTTAAAGTTTTCAGTTAATTGAGAGGCAAGTTTTCTCGAGACCCACTTAAAGACCCTCTGAAAAAGAACTAGCACTTTGCCAAGGGGAAAACGGAAAACCTTATTCAAGACTTTAAGTGGCTGCCATTTAATGGGGGGAATGGCGAATGGCGAATGGCGAATGGGTTGCTAGGCAAATGCATTTCTTAGTCATGTTTGATGCATGTGGCAAGGACCAGCGACCGACAACATTTCCATCGTCACTTAGGCTTCCAGGCAGTAGTCTCCCCAGGCTCCTTTGCTCCAATCTCCATCTCCAAATCCTGTGGCAGTCGCGCACTCAAATTGTTGCAGCAAGTTTCTAGACCACCGACTCCTTGCAAGGACACTCTTTGAATCCCTGTGTATCCTGTGTGTGCGTCTCAGGGTTTATGTCTAAATATGCAAATACTGAGTACGTCTCTGAATGTCTCATAAATTCGTGATTAATGTCAGCAGCTTTGATTCCGTATTCGAAATCAGGTTTTAATGCAGCTGCCACTTAGACGTTGCATTTAGTCGTCTAGATCATGCAGCATTAATGGCTCGCAAGATGGAGTGTACTATTATTGGCTTAGACATCGTTGCCTTAATGTGTCAGCCTAACGAAATTAGCATTAAAATTTGCCAGATTCCATGTGTGACTAAGTTAATTTTCGTCACCATCACCAGAGTGGGATCTAGTAGAGGGTCTGCCTGCTTTTAGTGGGGACAAAAGGACATTGATTGCCGTCGACACGTACCTAATGAAGTAGGCACAAAGCTATTTAGTGTTAGGATATAGAAGGTGAGTCCTTACCTTGGAGATTACAGCATTAAAGAGCTTAAAGAAAAAGGATTGCCCTCGTTAATTAGTTGCTGGCTAAAAAAATATAAATAATAATAATAGTAACCATGAATATTCATGAGATCACCGCCAGCCGCAGTTTCCGTTGTGATTTCTTTGTGGATTCCATTTCCATTTTGATTGAAAACAGTGCAGAAATCGATTAAATTAACTGCTCTATCAAATTACGCATACGCCGCATGGGCGGCTTTCATTAAATTGCATTTAATAGCCCATACTGAGTGGCGAGTCAATATTTATTAACGACATAATCAATAATTTGCTTCGCGCTCCCCTTAATGAGATTAAAGTGCAGCCAACGAAAACAACAACAACAACAGAAAAAAAAATAAAGTTAATGCATTTAGTTATGTCACGCCCCCGAAACTTTTTCCTGGCTTTTCCTTTTCCTTTTCCGCTTTTTTATTTTTTTAAAATGTACTTTTTTTTACTCCCTCTTTGTTTTGCCCACTCTGAACTTTTCTGCACGATTGCGCCAACTTTCATTTCCTGCAGAACTTTTGAATTTTCAAGTAACCATAAACTGGCTAAGCAAAAAATCGGTTAGATATATAAGTATATAGAATATATATACGTGTAAGG